AAATGATCGACTTCACTTGTCTCTTTGATGAGTTGTAGTGTGGGGTGCTAAGTAACAATGTTCACTGACGGTGCCGACTAGGATGTCGGCGAAGCGTCTGGGAATGTACCAAATCCACGGTCCGCCTCTAGAAATTATCATGCATACTATGGGCTACGAACAAGGTGAGTTCCTCTACGTCCTGCGGCCAATATGACCAAGTTGCGAAAACTAGGAAAAACAACTTTCAACGTTTATAAGGTTCCAAGCATACCTAAGCTTAAAGTTTGAAGAGAAACAAACTAGTTTCTAATGACTCAACTCTAGGTAGATTAATTATTAATCAATACTATTTATTACAATAATAATTATTATTATTAAGTAAAAGTAAGCAACTTTAAGGATGTATTTGCAATAACCTTGCATTATACCAGTGCCCCACGTCTCGATGCCTTCTTGATGACCTCTTGTTTCATCCTCCGGTTCAATTTCTGTTCGAGAAGCTTGAAGCCCCGGCTTACTAATGATAGGGACTGCCTCTTCTCTAATCAAGTAGTTAGGGTCAACAGAATGGCGCAGGAGACCGGAGGGTGACTGAAATGGAGCATCACTGTGAACTTTGGCGCCAGAACTAGAAGGCACAGAGAAGCCGGTGTCGACGGAGTTGCCAATAAATGCCATATTAGTCAGGCCGATGCTAGCAGGAAGTGAGGTTTGGTCTTCACTGATGTTGGGCTCGTTGGAGAACGGCGATGCGAAAACAGCTAGATTTTGTGACGCATGCCTATCACCTGCATTCAGCATGGGCAAGTGTAAGCAAATTAGGTAAAATATGGAAATGACAGGAAGGAAGAAATTAAAAGTGGTGACATTTGAAGAAAGAATAGAGTGAATAAATGAAGAAGAAAGAATAGTATCCAGTGCAACATTAAGCAGGTTTGGGATGATTCAGCTTCTCGCTCACTACCCTAGACTAACAGGTTATAATGGGAGGCTTCGTAACCTGACTTATATCACATTATCTCAACTATAGTTGCTTACAGTCATAGGCACTTTCGATCATGGTTTTTTCTTGGATCATTAAGCCTTGATGGCTCGAGTCTAATATTAGGGTTCTGTAATCACTCTGATTAGGACCAGTATTGCGTATAGATTTGAGCAAACACACACACAAAGCGAAGAGAG